ACCTCATCAAGCACATGGCCAAGGAGGATGCCAAGGCATGAGCACAGAAACGCCGAGTGTTTGTGTATCATGTGGCACTGGGCTCGTAGTTTTTTCTGTAGGACACTGTAGGATATGTGAGTTTTACAACTCGCTTTTAAGATTCTCAGAGATTCTTGCCTCTTCAATGCAGATTGGAGGCCCGAAAAAGGTGTGGAGATGGGAGCTGTGATTTGGACCTAGCAGACAGTCCCTGCGCGCTTGCAGGGTCAAAAGAAACAAGCAACCTGGGATTTCACCCACTGCTTAAAGCATGTTGTTTCAGTTGCGTCATACTTTCAACATGAGTCTGGCTCCCAACTTTGCACGAAAACTGTTCATGGCTACATGAACTACACTCCGACTCACTAACATTGAAGAGGAAGACCGCCTGGTTCGATAAGGAACATAGTCTTCCAAGATCTTCCAAGGGGCCATTTTCCACTTCCATGGTAGTGAGTCAGAGTGTAAGTGATCTAATCTGAGATACTTAACCATGCTTGCCTTTGAAGGAATGTTACATGGAAGCTCGGCCTGGCTTCTACTCCAGGGGCGGCCCTGTTTGGTGACCGAAGGTTTTGTGGCGCTCAGGTCACGAACGTGCAGTTCAGCCCGAGTCATGCCGTCAGTTTCAGACAGTCCAGAGGGGGGAAGAAGTGAGAAGAAGTGACTGGGAGCGCAGTGCTTCGTAAACAGAAGTGACGAGGTTTCGCACAACTCAGAAAACCGTGGTTTTTGCGTCAAGACGACTTGCAGCCGAAAAAAAACAAAAAAAAACTTGGCCAGTAGCCTGTAGCCTGAAAGAATCCATCAAACGAAGAAGATGTTAGAATGAACCACATCCACATCCATGTGTTGACAAGACCAACGACAAGCTTGGGTTGGCTGTGACTCTCTTGCAGAACTTAGTTCAACCATTTTATCGTGCACGACATGGATAGGAATCAAGGGCTCGAATAGGCGTTGGAGTCAGGTTCTCTGAGCGGACCGCCAGTTGAGCCAGGCAATGTCTTGGTGAGTCTGGGAGGGAATGACCACACCTTGATGCAGAGTCTCGGTGTGCCAAGCATGTTCTGCGGAATCGGGCCAGGGCCAGGGGCGGTGTCCAGCTAGGTCAAGACTCAGCTGAGAGCGCCAATGTTGAGTAAAACGAAGGACCAAGCCGATGGGACTTCTTGAAACAGGTCAAAACATGTCAATGCATCCACTTAAGAAAGCTGGCACTTGAAGAAACAACATGACACAATTGTGTGGCTGTAAAAGAAAGAAGCGGGAGGTGCGGTGAAATAGCATTTCTGAGAGCCTTTCAAACCAGAGGTATCGTTCGCTATGTCAGCATACATACAGAATCACATAATAAAAAAAGAAAAACAAGCATGTAACATACCAACATCATGTCATTAAGCGTGTCTTCTACCCTAAGAACCATCCCATGCCTGGCATTATATATTGGATGCAAACGAGTCCCTGCTTGTTTGATTTTACACATGGAGGACCTTTATGAAGCCGGTCAGCTTCATCCATTTCTGCCAAACAGATCGTGCCCGGGGAGCGGCTTCGGCCGTTTCGGCTTCGCGGTTTGAACGATCAGAGGAGACCTGAAACACGGGCACCGCAGTGGTACCCGGTGGGGTGACTTCGGATGTGGTACCCGCACCGACCCCCCGACCCGTGCGCCCTCCGCCGTGGCGCCGTTCCCAAGGTGGCGCCTGGAGCGTGCGCCGGCGCCTCTGCAGCCCGGAAGGACCACCTGTTCCACGCCACCTAAGCGGACGCTGTCGGGGACGCAGTGTTTGTGTTCACACTGCGCAAACTGGGACCGGGAACAGACATGTGTTGGTGTTTTTCACGCGAAGATGTGAAAATGCAGCGAAGCTGTGAAACTAACAGTCCATGCTGCTCTCAGTTAGCTTCGAAGATGATTTCTGGCATGCAGGTGGCAATGTGATGTAGGAGTCTCAGGAGAGGGATGGTTGACTGGTGCCACCATGGACATGTCCCAAACCCATTGTTTTTTTCACCGAAGTCAACATACATCCAAAAACTTGCCCCCTCCAAGAACCTTTTTGTATACCATTTTGTATCCAGGTTGTGTTTGTCAGATTGGGTTTATTATGGTGTCTTTTCTTTCATCGGGCTGAGCGAATCAAAAGGAATGTTGTGTATATATAACATATATATATATAATATATATATCTGATTATGTAAAACGAGGTGTTGTTTGACCAAATATATGAGAGACAACGAGGTGTACCACCCAAACTCCGTGAAACGACTCGAATCCATCCTCCCGCCTGCATGGCCTTGCTCTCCACCCTGCTCCGACTCCTCAGCCACCCAGGCCCTGGGCCAAGGACGAGCGCCCCGGCAGTGCCGCCACCAGCGCCGGCAGCGGCTCAGCCGGCAGTGGCAGTCGGCTGAACTCCACCGGTTCGGCCGAGGTCGGGCGAGGGCACTGGCAGGGATCTGGACCGGAGGGATCCCTGCCATATATGGCCATGGGATCTAGGAGGGAGGTGGACTGGCCATATAGACCATTCCGCTGCCTCCAATCCGGGGGCGTTTTTGAAGAAGGTGCGGACAGAGCTCAGCTGATCGGTTTCAGATCAGCAGGTCATATGGCTGTGGGATTGGCTGTGGGTCATGGCACCAGACCAAGGGGTTGACCTGGTGTCGGTCTTTCGCCACATGGTGGATTGGTCGGGCTCCAGGTTTTGACCCATCCTCATATCTCGGAGGTCCTAAGCAATCCTGCCGCTCTTTGGGTGTTAGGAAACAACCACCCACTTGAGGCATATATAGGTCCTGGAGCTTCCAGGGAGTGGAACATATTCTTTGCAGTGATAATAACAACACAAACACATTGTTGTATTTCTTTTGTGTTTTTCTTATTAATGAAAGCGAACCGTTTTTTGTACCGCTGATTCCTATTTGTTTCCTATACGTTTGTATGATTTGATACAATTACGTATTAAGAATACATGCAGTAAATAAATATATTAAGCAAGCAACAACAACCTTGAGTTCCTATGTCTGAACACTAGACCCAGCACATTCTTTGCTCCAGCTTGATGCAACTGTTTTCGTGTGTTCTTATTGCTAGCCTGGTCCGTTTTCTTCGTTGTTTTAGATATGTTTCTTCGACCTGGTGCACAGGTTTTGATCGTTGAAAAGGTCTACAGGATCTACAGGAACCATGGTTTGAACCAAATTTTTGTGTGCATGATTGGCTGCAGTGAATTCAGGAGGTTCCTCAAAGCTAAACTCATGAAGAAACAACTGGAAGATCCAGGCAAAATCTCAAGAAAGAGCCCAGTAGCGGCACCTATTTAGGCAGATTTCTTGTGCTTCTTCTTGGTACCTTCACTTTGTACCCTTCAAGCCTTGAAGAGCGGAAAGAGAAGTCCAGCTTCGACGGCTCCCTCTCGGGTCTTGCAGGAGGTCTTGCAACAGCTGGGCGAGCGAGAGAAGCGCCGCGCCCGGCCGCCGCGGGCGCCGCGGCTGGCGCCGCTGCATCCCCGTGGGGAGTACACAAAGATGACGGGAGGTTATCCAGGCTTTAAGGCCGATGAATTGCTTTGGCTGAATGGGTGAGCATTGTTCTGGTAGTGCTGGGACAGATGGGCCCTGGATTGCTTTCAATGGTTAAGACCACTAAACCATACCAAACCCATGATGTGCCTTGGATTTTGACGTTAAAAACACACACACACACACCCGCATCCACCACCAAATCCAAACCACCGAACCCACTCTGGCCCACTCCGGGCTCACCAGTCACGCGCCAGGGCCCCTTTGAAGGGGAGGAGCTGCGGAGCGCCCGGCCGACGGCCCGTTCCATGAGCGAGGAGGCGCAACAAGAGATGCGGGGCCCAGAGGTTGGATCAATAGAAGATGGTTCTTCGCCATTCACTAACAATGATGTCTTTGTTCACTAACATTCACGAGATTATCAGTATGATTCAGTATGATTTAGGGAACAAACACATCATTTCATGTCTTTCGTCCAACACCAGATGGCAATGATGTGTCCAACACAAGTTGGCAGATCTCCCCTGTTCCGGTTTTGGCTTGGGGTCATTTTGGCACGTAGGCATTGGAATCGTTGTATCGTTTCTTCCAACGCGCCTTCCGGACGGCACGTTGGCCGATCGGGAAAGCGCCAGGGTGTTGGGGCGCCATGGTTCCCAAGCACGAGGAATTGGCGCCTAAGCCAGTCACTGCCAGTCACTGGGTGGTAGGAAGTTGTGACTTCTTTTTTGGACCAGAGGGTATGGCCAACAACTACGAGGCCAGATGATTGTTGGATGATCCAGTGAGATTTGATGAAGGTCACGGGGGGGCTTGGCTTGGAGTTATAGTTCTTTTCTCTTCGTGTTCTTGTTTTTCTCGGAAGAATCTACTGAATCCTACTCATGACTTCAGGGTACATGCTTCCATTCCAATCCCATCAGGGTTTCCACTCTTCGGGGCTTCCAGTGCGGCCGGCTCCAGATGCGCCAGGCCCCCTCCAGCGGCTCCAGGTGCGGCGGAACGATCCGCGTCCGACGCAAATCGACGAGGCCTCCGCGTCCGACGCGGAGCGTCGAGGCCTCCGCGCCCCCACAGCACCAGCAGCCTGGGCAGAGACTCGCCGCACCGGCCGAGCGCCTTGCACCAGCCGCGCCTGACGCCGGCCGCTTTGCAGTGCCGGCGCTTGGCCTCTATGCGGCGGTTGTGACCGGGAGAGGCCTGCTGGAAATGGGTGGAGTCTCATGTGGTGCGAAAAGGGCCCAGAAATCCAGGACAAGTTCTGGAGAAAGGGTGAACTTGTGAGCCATGACACACCATGACATCATCTACCAGGGGCCCCACGAACCATCAAAAGAACGTTGCTGTCTTTTCCCGCTAGCAAAACATGTCATAGAGTTTTTGTTAGCATGTCATAGAGTTTTTGTTAGCATCATAAGTTCACTTTTTGTCATATTTGTGTGTGAAAAGTGAACTTCATGATTTTGCATGGTCTTTTTGGGCCGCAGAACCACCCAAGTGGTCTGGTCGAACCGACGGACGGTCGACGGACGGTCGACGACCGATGACTTGCGAAGAGGTGAACGGCAACGAGGCGACCGATGTTCCAGTATGTTCAGAGCTCTGAAGTTGGAGAATTTAAACATGAATATAAGCTTTTTCCGGGATCCGACCCTCCAAACCCTCCTACATGAACAGTGGAAACCAAGCAGCTACCGAGAAGGTACTTGAGATGCTATGAGATGCTATAAAAAATTTATCATAACCGCAGGCAGGACCACAGAACCTCCCCAACCTCAAGCTACAGACAGTCTGAGAAGTTTGAGTCAGCAGTCCAGTCGTCATCCAGGAGGCGAAGCGATCCAGGAGTCGTCCAACATCTGCTGGTGGAAGAAAATTGCTTGTTTTTTAGCACTTGCAGTTCCAAAACCCGGGCTGCAGGTATGTACAGGTAATTATGTAAGAGGCGACAGAATCAGGCGACCGACGCGAAACGCGACACGTGTCGAGCCAAGACCAGAAACATGCTGCCAGCCACACAGGTTGCCAAGGCCATCCCGAACAAGTTGTTTTGGGCAATTCCAGGGCATGGGCCATCTCACCCTGAACCTCAAACATCAGAGTTGTCACTCGTCACCATGGAATGGTTTATACGACCTTTTTTAAGCCTTTGGAGTTAAAAGGTTCTTGATTGGTGCCAGGACTTTCTCACCTACTTTGCCCATGTTCAATTGTCACCTATGGGTCTATGGGGACTCCAACAAGTCTTTGAAGGGCCTCAAACATGTTTGTGAATTGTGGGTCATGACCCGCCTTTTGATTTTGTCGTCTCCAATCTCTCCCTCTATTGGCTGCTGGCTGTTTGACGGGGTGATGCTCCAAGAGGAACTGTGCAACTCCGATGTTTTTTGCACGAAAGGCTTATATGGTTTCGGATTGTTTCAGTCTCTTTGAACGGATATTCTATATCCTAGTGTCCCAGCAGTGGCCTCAGTCCAGGCATGGTGGCATGGTTTCCAAGACCAACCAACGACGACGACCTGCATGGATCCCGTGGTTGCTGATGTTGATTCCTTTGTATAGATGGTGAAAGGTTCAAAGTAGGGGTTACGGTACCCAAGAAGGCTGGTTACTGTAGCTGGAAGTGCCCATGGTGTCGGAATGTCCGCAGCCAAGAGAGGGCGCAACCGCCTCGCTGTCTCGGAACGGCGGAGCCGCCAAGGCCGCGATCCAGGTCAAAGGTAGTCCGTCCAAATCTTAAATATCACATATGTTGGACTCAGTATGACTGAGTTGGAGGCTTTCAATATCTTTCAATGATATATGTTTGATATATGTGTTTGGCCACTGTGCAACCCCCCAAGACGTTCCGTGTGGAAGGAGCAACTTTTTCTTGGACCCGCCAACAAGTGCCAATGATCAACGTTCAAACGTAGCGTGCAGAAGACAAGCGTGCAGAAGACGCGGTTCTCATGCAGATCATTGCAGAAAAGGCGTGCGAAGAGTTGTTTTTGGCAACAACAATTGCAGACGTTTGCAGTCAACGTCCAATCTCAGGGGCCTTTCCACGGTTTCAGAGGTCATAGTGCGCGACGGATACTGAAAAAAGTCCAAAGTAAAACTTGGTCCTTTACCTCCTTGAGTAGTGTTTTTGTATGACCAACTTCAGTATTTCAGTATCGGTCATGGACTTGTTTGTTCGTGTCACGTCGCCGATGTTTGAAGGAAAAAGGGTCTGGCAGTATTCCATGTCTTTCACGTTGGCTTTCGAAGCTGTCACCCCCGTTTTCGCTGGCTGACGTGAGCGCATTCGAAGCTGGGGGCCATCGTCCCACCTTCGGGGCCCCAGCTCGGTCATCGCCCCGCGCGCCCCGACTCGTCGGTTTCACTCGAGGCTCGGTCGTCAAGCCTCGTCGGATCTGGGGCCGGTGACAGATGGTGTTCATTTCGATTGGGCTGGACTCGTCGGACTCGTGGAGGGTCGCCAGTTGGGTCGTTCTGGATCTGAAGAGTTGGGGTGCATGGGGTGTTTGGGGTGCATGGTTTGATTGTTTCGCCTCTGGGTACATCCGCTTCCGGAGTATTGTGTTGTTTTCTCGGTTCCTTGAGCAAATCCATGTGAAATCACACAGAGTGCGATCCTTCACAGACTCATTGAAGGACGTCGGTGTGTCGCGTGCTATCGCGATCGTTCCCGCTCGAATCAAACTTGCAGCCATCGAACGAGGATTGCATAGAGCAGTGAGGACATTTCAACATGTTTCATGATGCATGATTCTACGTTACGCACGTGTTGAAACTAAAATCTGGACTGTTGGAGAGATGCCCTAGGCTCTTCACTGTTCGCTTTTGTTTGTTTTCATGGCACAAGGTTCATGCACCGTGAGAACCTCGCGAACAGCGCCGTACATAAGGGGCTCCATGCCACGGAACTCGTCGTCTGAACTCCACCAGGCAGAGCCCCCTCGATGCCACTGGACAGACCACTCCGCAGCCCGACGCCGTCGTCACCTGCGAATCCCATGGATGCTGCCCCGGGGAACCTCCTGCTTGGCGCGACGTCTGAGTGTCGGTGCGGCTAAGGCACCTGGAGAGGTACCGCGGTTTTCAGGGTCAGTGCAGTCTCTAGTTCATAGATAGAAACGATCTCCAGAGCTTATGGAAAAGGCGATTCAATGGATGCACTAGAAGTCACCATGTAGTCTACAGACATAGTCTGGGTATGGTTGTTTGCCTCCGACACGTATTGGGATTGGTGGAAAGTACTCCCTCCCATAAATGCAAGAGGGTTGTTTTGCTTGCCCATGTCCAGCAAACAGAAGTAAAAAAGGTGACAACGCATGTCTGTGCCAGGTTTCAAATTCTTGCCTCTGTAGCAGAGGGGTTTTCAGGGCCAGATAATGGCCGGGTGCCAAGTGCCTTTGCCTCAAGGGTCAAGCCATTGAGTGGGCGGACATCCTTTCACCATCTTTCACCTATCTCTAACCCTCGCCCTCATAGATATCTTTTCCTGTGGCAGTGAATCTCCTGTCAGTGGTGAACATACTTTCGCCACGTCCGTCGAGAGACGCTTTTCACCTCCAGGGCCTGCAGCAGCAGTTGAACCAAGCTGCGACTTGGCGGGATGTGACTGGACACATATGACTTGTGGTGCAAGCCCCCATAATGTATATAGACCTGGAACCCGTTTGACCTCTGTTTTGATAGGAAAAGACCATATTTTGGGTGGTTTGTGGTCCAAAATAGAGGTTATTCAGGTTCTAGGGATAGATAGATAGGTTTCGTGGAACGAACATCCACCTGTTTGATATCTATCAGACAACACGGTCCCTTTTTGTTTCGGGGAAATGCCAGCCACGTAACCATGACTGTTCAAGGGAGTAATGCACAAAACAAATCGGTCTCCAACATCACCCAAATGAGTAGTTGATAGATCCCTCTGACCTCCCCAAACAAAGAGTTTTTTGTTTTTTGTTTTTTCCATCCAAGAGCACCCCCACCAGGTGGTGCTGGCTACTTTTTTGTCAATTAACAGTGATTTGTTTGGTTTTTGATATGCTTTCTGTACTTGTGATTGTTCGAACACATTCGATGCAGTTTTCAATTTCTGAATGCGAAGCTGTTTGATTTTCCTTTTGGAGCAGAAAGAAGGGACTGACAAGAAAAGAGGAACCAGAGCACCCACAAGAAGTGAACCGGAAACAGTGGATCCCTGCAACAAATACATGTTCAACCATCTAGTTTCACATCGACCGCCTCTTTGACTGCCGTGCTGAAGGGATTCTGAGATGGTAGGTCAAGTCAAATCCAAACGGACACCGCAGGACATGCATACCAGCAGTTCCAAAGGGATGCTATCCATGGAGGTTGGTCCACTCACTTAGGGACTAAACACATCTAAACACCACCCCCCTTTGGAACTCCTGGTATATGGTTGTTTCTCGATCGTGAGGATACAACAAAGAGTTGGAACTTAATGACAACTATGTTTTGTCGAAGAACTCTTCAAGAATCTCACGTGTTGTGATGTTCTCTAGATCGAAAAAGCGCTCCTCGTTTCGCACCGAGCGAACCCCCCCCGAGGCAGAGGCTGGGCAATGTGTCCGAGCAGAGGCCGCCGGGCCGATGGCGAGACTCGCGTGGGTGGCTCTTGTGTTTGTGGGTCATTGACGTCGCACATCGGTTGCACCCTGATTTCACCGTTGGGAAAATAGGAATCGACATTATACATATACTTGAACAATATTGGAACATGTACTGATTTGTTTTTTTCACAATAATAGCTTTATATACATATCATCCTTTGAAGTTTCTGCCATTCAATTATTTGGTTGTGACAGCTCCACCTGCTTTACCAGCTATGTCCTCCAAGTTCATTTTTTTGATGCACAATGCATTCCTGGAGTGCATTTTGGGTGCATTGCTTTTCTAAAGTGCATTCCTGGAGTGCATTTGGGGTGCTTTGCTTTTCTAAAGTGCATTCCTGGAGTGCATTTGGGGTGCATTGCTTGTAAATATAGTTTGCTTGTACTATAGAGCAATCTGCGCAAGATCAGAAGTGCTTTTCAATAGATATCCTTTTCAAAGGCCATTTTCAAAGTGCGGAAAACCCCTTTGACGACTGGCGCCGGCGGCAGTCTGACAGTCCCAGGTGACAGGTGACCCAAACGGAAATGAGAATGCATTTTGCAAGCCGGGAAAAAGAACAACTTAACAACCGGTAAGCTGGGCCCAGCCCAGGCTAAGGAAGCCACCAAATGCAAAACAAATGCACCACCCAAAAAAATAGATGCAACAAAAATGCAACCCCCAAATTGCAAAAACATGCATTTTGTTTGCATTTATTTTTTGGGTGGTGCATTCTTTGCATTGTCCTGTGAGCCTTGGGCCTTGGCCCAGTCGACGATGTTATATCCCGGACAGGGGGGCCGAGGAAATAAGGAAAACAGGAAATGAAGGAATTGGAACAGCAAACTTTCTTTTAAAAGCTCTGAATTTACCAGCAAACTATCTATGTGTAAACTGATCTAAACAAACTATCCGAATTTTTCCGCTCAAAAGAACGCACTCTCAAAACACATATCCACAAAGAATGCATGTGCAGAACGCACTCTCAAAACACATATCCACACAGAGTGCATGCGCAGAATGCAAAACTAATGCAACAATTATGCACATGGTGTTACTAAGCCTTAAAGCAGTCAGGCTATTAAAATATATTACAAGTATGTGGTTGGAAATCTATCACTAGACACTGGACACTCACCGTAAACGGACCACAGGCTGGCTGAAAGACCGAACATCATTCTGGCTGCAGGAACAGTTTCGACTTTACCAGTGTGAATTTCAGCTGTTGTAGCCAGGGTGTATTGCGTACAGTTGATGCACCGTCGCTGCTGTTTCGGCTGAACAGGGCCCTTGAGCTGATTCGCTGCTGCGAAAAGGAACTGTGCGAGATTCAAACTGGTAGCGGAGCAGGTTCTGAAGGGGCACCCTCAGGATCTGACTCACCCGGGGAGACTCGCTGGATCCGAAACCGTTGAACCCAATTGCGTGACCCTGCGCGCAATCCGTCGAACCGTTGTAATTCCAGTGCTTTGCGAAACTTGTTGAGTTGCGATGTCGCTGGCTGGCCTGCGGTACACATCCCATGGAGGAAGTATCTCAGGACCACAGGAGACGAAGAGCGGATCATATATCTACAGTGGCAATCCAAATGGTTTCTTCGAATGGGAATTTCGCACCAAGGTCCGCGTTGCTTTGCACAAGCAG